TTTGATTTTTATTTCAGATTTGTACGAGTTAGATAAAGATAGATAAAGATATAAATTAAGTCCCCTTTTATGTCTGCCTTTAAACAAAAGTGACCTGACCCATTTAACATATTTATTTGTTAATGTATGTGGTGGAACATACCTAAGTACATTTAGGCTACTACTACTAAAGCTGGGGTTGGCAATTTATTTCAGAAACATTTTTTGTTATATTTGTTAACAGAAGTCGGCACGAGTAAACACAAACACATGAACACTGGAATACAAAGGACATCTGCTGTCACTTAGGTGTACCCGAGTACGCAAACAGATGCTGCCGTCATGTGTTGCTAACACAGCTGCCACAATTCTTACAGAGTGCGCCTGTGACTGGTGTGTTTGCTACAGTGTCATGTTTTCTAACATCACAACCGGACTGTTTACTTAACATCTGACCTAAACTCATTAAGTCAATCATCAGTGACCACTGTTTACCTGAGCTGTGAGCAGTGGTGGAAAAAGTGTTTAGATCCTGAAACTTAACCAAAAGTACTAACACCACAGTGAAGATACTCCGTTACAAGTTCTGCTTTTTAAAAGTAAGAATAATCAGGAAAGTAAAGTAAAGTATTAACAGTAAAAGTATTGAATGCAGAAAAAATGCTCCCTGTGACTATTATGCTATTATATAATATATCATTAGATAATTATTACTAATGCATTAATGTGAAAGCAGGATTTTACTGCTGTACTTGGTTGAGGTGGAGCTCATTTTGAACTATTGTACAGGACTATAATGATTATTTTCATTATGGATTGACTTGCTGATTATTTTCTCCATTATTCGAATGGATTGTCTATTTTGTAGAAATTCTGAAAATATTGAGAAATGCCATCAAAATTACCCAGAGCCCAAAGTGACACCTTCACAATGCTTTGCAATGTCTAAACCTCAAAATTATTCCAAACAATTTTAAATTGTTAAAATAATTTACAAGGAAAGTCAGCAAACCCTCACATTTGCAAAGCTGGAACGATGCGTGACATTTTAATAAAAATTAAATAGTTGCCATTTAATTTTTTGTCTATCCATCAATCGTGTCAGCTGTTGCCTATTTTCATATTTTTTGTGTGCAAGGATTTTAATTTGTACAAGAACTAGTGCTGTCAAATATATGTAGTACATGAAAAAGTGCAATATTTCCCTCTGAATGTAGAGGAGTAGAAGTAAAAGTACCACCACTGGTTATCATTATAGGAATAATGTCAAAGGTCAAAAGTCAGCTTGTCCACGTACGTCACTGATTGTAAGCCACCAGTCGATCAGTAGGTTTTTCAGCATAACAAGCAGCAAATTAGCTGTTCCTTCCTCCATCATTAACATACTGAATCTGCCAAGCTGTTATGTAGTTTTCTGGATTCGTGCCCATGCCAGAAAAACACACAGAAATGAATCACAAACAACAGCTCATGATATTAAATTATATTTTGAGTGATGGTAGCTTCAGCAGAGCCAATATCATTCAGGACATGAGTCAGATTATTATAATTTAATACTGTATGTTGAGATGTAAAGTGACACGATCACAACTTTGTATTATCCACAATAAGACTTACAAAGGAATTATAATAAAGCCTTTTTCCATTTATTGAAAGTGATGCACTTTGGCTCATATAACTATCCGAATGAACACTGAAACCATCAATTTTGTAACTTGCTAGCCTTTTCTGCATCTCTCAGTCTCGCTCATTGGGTGGAGTTTGCTCAATTACCTTAATAATCACTGATTTGCCCATAGAGTACACTCTATCTGCTGGGGAAGACCGTGAGATGTGGTTGAAAGTTCTGGTCAAAACTAGTAAAAGATTTTTTATTTGTCTTTTTGTTGGGGGAGGGGGGGGGGCAAATTGCTGTTTATAATGTTAAGAATGAACTTTCATTTCAGCTAAGCAACTTCTGCAACTTTGAGCACAAAATTAAGCCATTTGTCAAAACATATTTGCCAAACTATGTAGGTAAGGAAGTGACTCAGAAAAATATGAAATATCATAGAAATGTCAAAATACACTGGAGGAGGGCTTCATAAGAAAGTGTAGATAAATGCTTTAGAAAATGGAGTGATTGTTCACGGGTGGCATGGTTGGCCGGTGGACAACGCTGTGTCACAGCAAGAAGGTCATGAGTTCGAACCTTGGTCATTCCAAGCCTTTCTATGTGGAGTTTGCATGTTCTCCCAGTGTCTGCGTGGGTTCTCTCTGGGTGCTCCAGCTTCCTCCCACCATCCAAAGACATGCGGCTTAGGTTGATTGGTGACCCTAAATTTTGAGTGTGACTTTTTTTGTTTGTCTATGTGTGACCCTGCGATGGATTGGCGACCTGTCCAGGGTGTACCACGCCTTTTGCCCGATGTAAGCTGGGATTGGCTCCAGCCCCCCGCGACCATGTAAGCGGTTGACGATGGATGGTGATTTTTCACAACTCCATCTGCTTGAGTATAAAATATACACCTGTAAGCCAGGTCTAGAATCAAGCAACTATCTGTGTGTGATATATTAGAGATATCTAAACACTTTCTGAAATCCTCCTCTTACTCTTCTCCTTTTTATTTCCTGTAAAGCAGTCAAACCAGAAGAGTCCAATCAGACAAAATCACCACCAAAGCCCACAAGACAGTCACCCTGCTCCGGAAATTTCTGCTGACACATTCAAGGGTTTTGCCCCCTTAAGAGCGCCCATTATTGATCACACAACCTCGTGGTATCCTGAGGAGCTGCTCAGTCATTTCAGCTTGAGATCCCTGTGGATGTTGATGTGTTCGGTATGTTGTCGTAACAGTAGGAGCAGGAGGAGAGGCTGCAGACGCTGCAGTCTCACGGCCCACAGACCAAGCCCTCTGACCAGTGTTTATTTCTGCCTGGCCCCACCGTTTATTTTCACGGGAGTATTAATGCTTATTTTGATATGCCTCTTGTGTTATTTTAGATGAGTCATTGGGGAACGTGTGGGTACATGTGAGAACATTCTGTGCCTGTGCGTTGACGGTGAGACGTGTGCACGACGGAGAGGACTGTGTGTATGTGTGTGCGCATTTGTTCGCCAGAAACACACTCACACACATGATAATGTAGGCTTCTGTATCCTGTTGAGAAGAGAAGCTTGTTTCTTTATCCGTAGTCAACAACACTACCAAGAGAAGATGAGAATAGACTGTGTGAGAGGGAACATTTTGAGCTTTGTAAACATTACGTAACGGCTCAGCTCATGTAATAATATGGCTACAACAAAATAAGCTTCACGTTCGGTGTTCATTGTTTTCTGTATTGTCTAGTTAGACAGACGTAATTGTAGATTTCTCTGTTGTTTGTACCTGAGCAGGCCATGGTTGTGGGGGGGGAGAGTAACCCTTTTCAGGCCCTGAACAGAGGCCTTGATTTCCGCATATTATCTTGCTACCTGTAATTGTGTCCTGGCAGCAAATTAATGTGAACACCCAATGTAGACTTATAACATGACGCAAATAATACCGTCATGGATTAATTATCAATATGCAAAGAGTGATAGCAGACCGTCTTTGCTGTTGGAGGTGTCCTGGCAACAGTTTTACCAATGTGTCCTTTACAATGGTGGTCAAGGGGAATGTTTTTGCTGCAGTTCCCACTGTGAGTGGCCACCGTGGCAAATCTACAGCAAGACTGAGAGGCAGCGCCCTATCGTAATAAAACAATGGAAGAAACTTATGAGCTAACAAAGTGTTTGCATGTTTAAATAGAAGAGGACTAACAATCAGCATTTTGATTCAGTATGTGAGTATTCAAAGGTATAGAGCATTTTATTGTAAAATCCAAGAGTTAGATGATAAGATTGATATTCACACACTCATGTCTGTGCTTTAAGTACAGAGCTGGAACGGGGAGGTGATTATAGCTTAGCTTAGTTTAGCATAAAAACAGAGCAGCAGGGAGAAACAGTTAGCTTAGCTCTGGCAACCAGTACATCTAAAGCTCACTAATTAACATGTTGTTAGTTTAATCCAAACACAAATGATAAAACTAGAAGAGTTACTTGCTGTAACTATTTTTTACAAACAAGAGCAAAGTGCAGTTTTTGTTTTTTTGAGTCATTTAGGTTCCAGGTTTAGTATTAGCATCGACACATCTACTGTACTCAACAGGCTTTTCTGGTGACCTGCATTATAGCTGGAGACAATACACAGAAGGTGGACGGATAAAAAAGAAAACCACAACTTGTCTTTTTCACATTCCCGTTTATGTAGTTAATAAAAATAATTAAATGAAATATGCAATGCGTTAATCAGTGAGCTTTAGAGGTGCTAGTAGAATTATTTTTGAACTTTGGACAGAGCCAGGCTAGCTGTTTCCACCTTTCACGTTAAGTGATCAAAAAACTGAATCACACTGAATTAATATATAATGGTAAACAGTATAAAAGTGAGTGTGGTGGAGGGTAAAACCACCTGAGCTGCTAACATGCTGCTAAAATGTTCACAGTGACATGCTAATGAGCTGATGAGCAGGTATAATGTTTACCATGTTTATCAACTTAGATAAGCATGTTAGCATGCTGACTAAAGCTAATAGCACTTTGGACAGGTGAGGGTGTGATGAGAATGTCATTATTTTTGCAGGTATGTGGTCATAAATGACAAGAATCAATCAGTTGTTGTGATGTTTCTGTCTAAACCAAAGTCATGGACTGACCAACATCCCCAGAGCCACATTGCTGGTGTGGCTTAAAACCTTTTCTCTTTTTACACTTCTTCTCCCTCCCTCATCTTTTCTTTAATTATTCTCTCCTGTTTTGCCCACAGCAGCGCTCCACACACACTGGCTGCAGGCCGGTGCATGCTAGGACTGCAGTCACAGCTATCATGAATAGACCGCACTGTGTCACAAACAATAACCTCTGAACACAAAGAAAATGTTGTTGTTTTCATGATTACCAGTGGAAATGAATGATTAACGTGGTTTGAATGGAGCCCAGTGAAAAGAAGTCATGTCTTTTCAGCTTCTCTTCAGACTACAGCTAAACTCAAACACATGAAGTCTTTGAGCTGTTGTTTTATTGTGTATGTGTGTGTGGTAGCTAACAGTACAGATGCCAGTGTGTTATGGAGCTCAGAGCTGAGCCAGATTCTCTATCAGGCACGACTGGAGGACGCTGCAGTCATTGTGATAATAGAAGAGGTGACTGTAATCCTTTTTGTCCTCTCCTTGTCTTCCCCTCTTACTCGCAATTATAAAACATGTGCTCATGCATTTTCTTCTCTCTCTATAATCAGTCCATGTCTTATTTTTCAGCTGTAGAGTTAGCTGTTCACCTTTCTGTCGTCCTTTGCTTCAAGCCATCAAGTGCATCGGGCCAGGTGCTTGGCTGATTGGGCTCCAGAGCGATAGATTGAGAGGTAACTGCCAAGTATTGATTGCCTGCAAGCCTCTGACCTTAACAAGAGCAGGCTTAGAGTAAAAGACGTTTGTCAAATTCTGCTATAATATTTTTGTTAGGTTTTTTTTTTTGCACAATATTGACTCAGGGTCATTAAGAAAGCAACGTATCCTGACAAAACATGCTGAATGCCAGAAAGAAGATGAAATAATAAACTGATCAATTATAAAATGATAAATTACTAGATAAAATTAGGAGATCCTTGCTGCCTTTGGAGCAAAGGTCAGTACAACTAATAAACGTCCTACTCTCTCTCACAAATCAATCATATACTCTGTTAAACTAGAAGAAGCAGGTTTTGTTCCCCTCTTATTTCAGTCTGAACCTGTTCAAAACAGTCAGTCGATGGTAAACAAGCAGGAGCCCCAAACCCCCCCGCCTTTTTAAAAATCTGTCCTTGAGGCCGCACTACCGCCATCATCTTTGTCCCAAGCCTCCAATTTTGTCCTCTAAGGAATAATGGGCTTGTCTGCCACTTTCTCTCCTTTATCTCTCCGAGCGAGACAAGAAACAAGCAAGCTTCATTCACAGGCCAAATCAGCTGATAGGTTACATTCATCCTCTACATGGACATTATTTTAACTGTTTTTTTTGTCATGCTAAGTGCTGATTTTAGATGAGAAAACTCAACAGAATAACGAGTGGATTTTCCAGTCTGAAAGTTACTGTATTATGTGCCTTAAAAGTGCTATAGGTTACACGTGCCAGAGAAATGTGAGAAACGAGGGATTGGGTAAAAAGTCTGTCCTGATAGGTCTGTGGTATAGGGACAAACAAGCCACATAACTGAAACTTATACTAAAATTATGGCACAGCCTGTATAGTAGTGGCTAATGTAGCCTCAAGCTGCTAGCCTCAAGCAGAGATAAGGAGCGGGCTAAAGAGGTCTGGTAAGCTCACTTCTTTCTTACTCCACATGCCAAGATTGTTTTCTTTTTTAAACTTGTAGTGTTGCGCTCCAACCGACACTCACTCAAGTGACATCACTTGAGGCACGCACTTTGCCCTGGAGCCACAAAAGGCTTTCCACAAGTTTATTCACATACAGTATGCTGTAGTACTCCCCAAGACCTGCAAATAGACTTGGATGTGTAAAACACAGTAAGTACAAATGATGTGGTTTCAAATTAATGCAACTCTAGTGTACTATTTCTGAAAAGGTGAGTGTGCTTTCAGAATATTTTAGAAAATTTAAAATGATTTCTGGCCAGTTGCCTGTCACCCATGGTCAAGAGTTTGGCTGGTGGCTGGTGTAATTTCCTTCCCTGTGTTTAAGGTTGAGTGAAGGTCAGTGAGGAGGACTTCCTTTTCTGTCTGTCTGCTCTACTGTCTCATTTCTGTAGTGCAAACAGCCCTTATGCTGCACTTTTTTGCTCTTTATTTATTAAATTTGGAGGTCAGGTAGACAGCAGAACACCAAAGCTTTTCATTGAGAAAGGGTTTAATTAACTTTAATCAGTGAATCAACGCACCTGTATCAATACGTCCCACTACCTCCCACTAGCTTTGTCTGTTGGGAAAATAATAATCACTACCGCCATTTTTACTTTAACAGTATCTCTTTTGCAGTGTGTGGGTGTGTTTGTAGAGCAAGTGGCAGAGCAGTGGGGAGTAAATGAATATGATAAAACTCTGACTCCCACATTTTCTACCACAACAGCCTCTAGTGTTGGAATGCTAATCATAAGCCTCTTGCTTTTTCTGGTTATATTTAGCCATGCTAGCGGCATGGCGTTATGGATGGCAATGTCGGTCTGTTCATCGTTAGGCCCACCACTTTTGTCAAGACTTAAAAATCTCAGCAACTATTCATGGTTCCTAGAGTCTGGAGCTAATAGCTAATTCTGTCTGAATCATAAAGACTTTAATGATCCTCTTACTTTTACACCACCAACAAGATCACATTTGTGGTTTTGACTGAAATGGTGCTACTGGATGGATTATCATAAAATTTAGCAGGCTGCACATATTCATATCCTCTTCAGGATGAACCTTGAGTGATTCCTCAAGATTAAGGCACTATAGTCATCAGGTCAGATTTAAGTTTAAACTTTGGTTCATGACGAAATACATGCAAAACTAACAATCCCATCAGCCTCAGCTGTACTTTTTGTTTACTGCTAATTAGCTAATGTTAGCATGCTAACATGCTAAACTATGTTGTATAGGATGTTAGCATTGTCATTGTGAACATGTCTCATGCTAGCATTTAGCTGTGCCTCAGTGCAGCTTTACAGAGCAGCTAGAGTTGACTCTTGAGTATTTTTTTATGTATGAGGTCCAAAACACACAGTTAGTGTCTAATCATAGAAAACTCCAAAAATCAGTTAAAGCTTCATCTTATCTTATTAAAAAAACTGCTAAATCAACTGCTTTGCCTCTCATCTCCTCTCACTGTGCAGCTTCCTTTCTCACAGTGTCCCACTTTATTCCACAAGTAATTTTGGGGAGGTTACACATAAAGTCAAGCTAATTGATTTAACTTAAAATCCTTGTCAGTCTGCCTTTTTTTCTTCCAGGAGTGTGACCTCAGAGCTCCCGCTTCTTAAAATGAGCATGAAATGAGATGACTAATCCACTTCAATTACTAATTTCAACAAAAATATTGGTTACTTAACTTTTAACTTTCTGTTTCTCACTGAAGGCTGTTAGGTAATTGCTCTATTTTTTTTGACTGAACACTTAACAAGTTAAATATTATTTAATTACATTACATGCATCATTGCCTGTCACAGCGTGATGTGGACACCCCACATCACGCTGTGACAGGCAATGATGCATGCATTTATTTCTAATGATTAGAGGTAATTAGTCATATTTTTCTGCATTTCTTGGTAGATCCCCCTCCCTTCAAGAATACATTTTTAGTTTGTCTTTGGTATCTTTGTTGTCAGTAAGAAGCTGCTGCAGTGTGCAATTTTTTGTACTCTTTTCTCTCTTTCTGACAGGTTTGGTTTCAGCATGACACTGTGTGAAAAAGGATGACTCCTTTACCTCAGAAAACCTCCCTTCCCAGCGCTGTCATCCAGCGTGCATGTAGGTTTGCTTTGTCTTCCTTTGCAGTTTCTCCCTCACTGTATCTCATTGAGCGCTCCTTCAACAGCTCTCACCCGTCAGAGTCCTGTCAGACAGGTTTCACTGTAGTTTCAGTGTGATTCTGTCTTTTTTCTTTTGTACATTTTTATGAAAGTAGATTTTTATCAGTATCGTAGAATTCATCATGCCACCATCAGCCTTTGTTCCTTTGTAGCTAGAAGCCCGCAAGGAGCATGAACCTCTGCTCACTGCATTTGTGCATATTTCTATCTAAATGGTTCAGAAATATCCAGAACCTCAGCATGAAAAACCTCTGCGGCCTCAGCAGTGGGCAACCAACTGATCTGGCGTCAGGTTTTTGACTTATCATGGTGTACTGACTCTAAATTAAGCTTGACAGTCCAACCTGGAATCAATGAGAATAAAACCATCTTTGAAGTGTTATAAGGCTCATGGTATTTTCAAATGTTGTTTGTGTGGTGCCCCCTGCTGCCCGATTTCTAATTTATGTGGGGGCATTATGGTGTCTTTTAATATGAACTCAGCATAAAAAATAAACATCCCTTTTTCAGGACACTGTATTTTAAAGGTAATTCTGTAAATATCATAAGGACTTTACTGTAAAGGGTGTAAACAATGTTTTTCATGCTTATTCAGTAAACCATAAACAATCAACAAACATGCACCTGTGGAATTGCCATTAAGACCCTAACAGCATGCTGACAGTAGGCGATTAAGGACACAGCTATAAAAAATAACAACACTAAATAAACCTTTCTACTGACTTTAAAAAACACCAAAAGAAAGATGTGCAGGGTCCCTTCTCATTTATGTGCCTTAGGCGTGCTGCAAGGAGGCATGCTGCCTGGGCAGTAAATTGCAATGTCTGTACTGTGAGACAGCTAAGAAAGCACTACAGGGATACAGGAAGGACAGCTGATAGTCCTCGCAGTGGCAGACCACATGTAACAACACCTGCACAGAACCACAGGGCCACACCAGATACCGATTGATACTTTCGATTTTGACGCCCCTTTTTTTAGGGACACATTTTTCCATTTCTGTTGCTCACATGTCTGTGGAAATTTGTTCAGTTTATGTCTTAATTGTTGAATCTTTTTATGTTCATCTAAATACT